CGCCTTTGATATTATTTTCATCTAAACCACTAGACGGCACAAAAATGTGGCGTAGCACTTTCCAAAACATTTGCTTTTCAAGATGCACATGTATATTTGTCAGATCTTTGATGCGATCGCAATTCTGTGCTTACTTGATCTAATATTTTATGTTTTTTAAAATGTTGTAGATTTAAGTATCAAATGAGAATCGCTAAAATTAATGCATATATTTCGAGACAAAGGTCTTCTTTATGATTTTCAGTTTTGTTTAAGATAATTAAAGCAACAGTTTTTAAATAACGAAAGAATATGTAAAAGTATGGTATTTGGGGTAAAATGCGCCCCCGCTGTTGGGGCTAAAGGCGCACAGTAATTAACTTGATAATTAATAGATGGCTGACTTTTCCATTTGTTGACATGACATGGTTAGATTCAGATGGTAAATGTCATATATTATGTTGGGTGTCCATATTAGAGATGTGCCTTTTACCCCATGCTTGTGAGCCTTTTACCCCGTGTGTGGGGTAAAAGGCCCCTCTTGCCACCTCATACATTTATAAGATTTTTAAACAAAATAAACAACTTGAATTATTTATTTTCACACAAAATCTGTTGCTCCATTAATGTTCAATATAACGTATATATTTTTTCTGCAATTATACATTTTAGGCGCAGTGAATAGCAAATTTTTTCTTAAGGTGGGCCTTTAGCCCCGTTGTACCCTATAACAGGGCTGGAACAGGGTCTGGGATTGTTTTGCACACAATTTTAAACGTTCATGAACTTCGCCACACACACATCTTAAACACATCATGTGGATAAAACTACACCCAGTTTTATGATTTTTTAAATGAAAAACTAAACAATTACACCTGCAACATTTGCATTCCCTGTGCTGAAAATGAGCCTTAAATGTTAAATAATTAGCCTAATTAAGGATAGTAAAGATACATTTCCAAAAGCTAATATAATAAAATATAATACTGTTTTGATCTGTTTGCTTTTTGCAATGTTTACTATTTACTATTTTTCATACTGTAATTTTTTGGTGAATTGTGTTTGTGAATCTCTTTGTGCACAGTTTTGTGCCACGTTAATCTAACAAAAAATTCAGAATAGTTCATACAGGTGAGACAGGACTTTAGCTAAAGTGAAGTAACGCCTAGGTGATCAGCATGCAGAGGCATTCTTTAGTTTGGCTCTTGTCGTGGGACAACATCTTAATTAAATACGTTGTCATGTACGTCTGTGATCAATATATGCTTGTTGGAAAAGTATGTGAGGATGTGAGGGAGTGATAGACAGAATCGTGGTGCAAGACAGACTTCTTATTATGTCAGCTTAACAGGTCTGTTGTTCGTTTGATTGGCATTATTATTAGAGCGATACGTCCAGTTTAAACCAGCCGTGTCAACTCTAATCGGCCTTCAACACTTCAACTCTATTTGAAGATTCGAGCAGAGCCTGCTCAGCCTGCCCACCGATCTTTCATTACTTCCTTCTGAGAAGCAATTCACAACAATTATAGGAATCACTGTTACACCTATACACTAAAATATTTGATCTATTTAAAATGTAACAACCTTGTTTGATCAATTATCTGCCTTTATGATCAAAAGTAACACATCCTTTAGAACAACAATCTAAAAAAAGACTAAGCTCATACATATGAATTAGTTTGCATTGACGTTGTAAGCTAATCTTCCTAGACCATCCAATCCAATCTAACTACTCTAATAGCCTAATAACAGTCATTGACACATATAGTAATCAATGCCAAATCTGCAATCAAATGTCAATAAATAAATAGCTTCAGTTCACTGAAGATGCTGAATAATCATATCATATATCATATTTTATAACAGGCGGATAAGTAACAGTAATGATTTTTTTCTGTATATCAAATTGACTGATATAAATAATTTAAATATACTAGAAATAAATCAATGGCAATTTTTGGCATTTTAGAGCTATGCACACAAATGAACCAGCACATTTGTCTGTTGCTCCATTAATGTTCAATATAACGTATATATTTTTTCTGCAATTATACATTTTAGGCGCAGTGAATAGCACATTTTTTCTTAAGGTGGGCCTTTAGCCCCGTTGTACCCTATTCTACATGAATCAGTTATTAACATGAATTGTTAATAACTGATGATAACCTGCTCTTACCTATATACCAATTTATGAATCATAACTCTGCAAATTGGCGACTCGCGAGTGAGTTATATTGATACCCACCACATTTGATTTTCACCCAACACATTGGCGGGTGTTAATTTCAAACCCTGATTACGATGTTGCACTAGGTTTTGGAACAGTGTTGACGAGTAAGTAAGATTCTGCACAGGCTTGTCTGACTGAAAGAGAGCAGATCCAGGCTGAGATCAGCTCAGTTTTATACTGAACTTCTGCCAGTGAAAGAAAGAAAAAGTGCAAATTCTGTAGGAATGCAACATCTCCTCCACAATTCACTCTGTTCCCTGAGAAAGGAAAGACTCCAGAGCAAAGGATCTTAATGCTTAAATACACAATTAGACTTCATGTTACAGACATGCATGCACCTCCCAGAGCACACACAGCAGTCTAGTGCTGCCCTGCTGGAGTTTCTCACTTTTTATTGACATGGAACCTGCTGCAGCACTCGGGGCTGGATGTTTCCAGGGATTTTGGAGGACTTTGTAGATTTGCAGCCTTCAGACAATATTTTGCTTTTTGACTTTTGAAGTTTTGGTTTTACTTTTTTCAAAATGGCTAAAAGTCTAAATGCACAGCTCAACCCACAGCAAGTGACAGTTTCTCACTGGAAAAGACCTGATGCAGTAAGTATGTGAAATCTGCAGTCTGAACAAAAATATTGGATAAATGCTGGGAGCATTAAATATCTGATTTTGTAGCAGAATTTGATTTGAGTACACATCAGAAAAAAATAGATTTTTTAATAGTTAATTCTGTGCAGCAAAACATTGCTAAAACCAACAGCAATTAATAAAAAAATAATAAAAGAATATCATGAGTGTGAAGAGAGCAGGGTATATTTCATTTGTGCAAGTTCTGTCATCTTAGAATAAATTTCATGCTTACCTGATACATTGTCATGTTCTTACAGCGAAATATCAAAGGCTTTCCTTTTCCTTGCACAGCAATTTTTGAATGCAAGCAAGAAAAGAGAATATGGATTTTCTCCCATCACTGACAGAGCTGCTCTCAGTGCAGACTGACATGCACTATCATTTTGCTGCAGATTAATCTTTTCAAGCTAATCACAGTCCGTCATGTTCAATTACCTTTAGTTTTATCTCAAGATCAAATGATTTTGCCTTCAAAATGGTCCTTGCATCCTAGCAAATTTTTTTTTTTTTTTTTTTTGTACAGGTTACTGAAATATTTTTCTGTATTTCATCTTTTCATTATAATTACAGTATTTCTGTAATCCAATAGGTGTTCATCTGTGTATGTTTGTTTACGGAGGATATTCTTACTTTGAACCATAAAGTGCATATGGTTCAGAGTTGAATAGTATCATTAAATTACTTTACGATCTGGTGTTTTGGTAAGTCATTTGGCTGAAGAGGCTCTTGGTAATGTGTTTGTGTTACAGAACTGACTCGTCTGACCTCGTGTCAGTGTTTTTTATCTGATGTGATTCAGTTTCCCTGAAGTTTGTTTTCGTGGCAGCAGTATAAGGATTGTTTGCCGATGGTGGAGGACTCACACAATGTGTTTAAACAATGTGCTACAGTACACAAAGTATTTGTTCAAGACTGTGAGAAATTCATCCAGTCTTCATTCTTCACACATCGAAGATAATTGTTTCCACTCTCGTTCACGTTGTCTTTGGGTCCGTCCCAAAGGCTGGACAGAACTCTGCTGTCTGTGTCTTGGAGGTTCTCCAGACTAGAATAAGCTCACTAGAGTAAACTGGAGTCACATCAGCTGTCAGTAGATAAGAATAAGGTTATGTGTGTGGGAATAAATCAAATGAATAGTGAGAAGATTTAAGAAACAAAACAAATGTATTTGAGATGTAGTTAAATATTATACTTTATCCTCAGATTTAAAAAAATTGCCTCATGTTGTGAACGCTGTGTCATATTTCTAATTGGCATATTATTGCATGGATTGCAAAGTACTTCAGCAGCCAATTATAACAATTATATCCAATTATAATTTTAGCCCATTGTAACCAACTTGATCGCTACAAAGACAGTCAGCTGCAAGCATTTTATCCAAATATGAGTGCCATCGATTGAGTTATGTATCTCTATGCTTTTTCTCCATCCTTTAAAAATGACATGCTGCCGTTGGGCTAGAGAGGAAATGCCAGGTCCACCAAATCCTCAATGTAGGGCCAAAACTAACATTGCCACCAGCCAGTATTGAGTGTACTTGGCATTATTAACTCATGGCTGAATCCAAAAACACTATTATGCCCCTAAAAAAGGTTGTGCTGATTTATAGTATACAGTTGTAATTGCAGTGTAAATGCATTTATGCCACCTCTGAGCAGCATTAAACTGTGGGAAGACATCTAAATGCCAGTTCAGAAGTGCTACTGTGCCACCTTTGCAAATGTAAATTTGGCATAATGTTAACAGTTGTAAATTGTAATACAATTTTAAAGTTTTTCCTGAAGGTAGCTGAGTTAAGGCTGCTCTGTGCCATTTGTGAGAAGCATTAAAGTAGCAGTCTGTGTAAAGACACCTATTGCCACTTCAGAAGCGCTTCTGTGCTACCTTTGCAGGGTAAATTTGCTGTAAGTTGGTTAATAAAATGCAGTGTGCTGTAAGTAACAGAATGGATGCAGTCTGAATACTTTACAGGCCTGATTCCTGGTGATGTCTGAGTGATAGATGGGATATATTCAGTAGTTAGCTGCAGTTAGATGTATGCTGCACTGCAACGTGTCGTCTGTGTTGTTGGCCACACCCCTCTCATATCATGGGAATGTAATCAGGGGTCAACTCTAAACTCATCTCATCTCATTTCATCTCATCTCCTCTCCTTTCTTCCAGACAACTGATTTATTTGAAATGATTGAGAAAATGCAGGTAATGTGTTTCTTTTACTTTTCTATTTTTTCCTTCCCTCTGCCTTTCATCTTTAATCTAGATATTTTCCATTAACCCCTGAATCAGCTGTCCTAACTGGCTACATAGTTGCACTTGCATGTTTTTTGTTGTAGCCGAAAGTCGTCACTGTAAATAACGAGGACATATATTCACTATAAACTACAAGAATGACCCCAGGGTCAGTCACTTACCAAACAAGTGCTGCATTGACACTATAATGTATCTTACATTCATGTACATATAAAAACATGTTGTTTTGTGATGTAGAATGTTGTTGCAACTGAACAGTTTATAGAATTCATTGTTTATATGAATATGATTTTTTTTTTTTTACTATGTCTATCTGGTTACATTGCAGTTATTGTAAATTAAACCTAATTTATATTGTCTTCATTTGTAATTTGGATTTATTTATTTTAAATAAAATGTAGTGTTAAATTAAAAATATAACTATTTTTCTGACACAAATCAAATTTTGTTTACAAGAATAACTACAGTTATGGTGAAAAACATGTACATATTTATTGTTGTGCCCTGATTATCATAGTCATGCAGTTGCCAAATTTACAACGAGAACACGATTGAACTATGAAGGGAACAAACTCTTCTGGTGTCTCTGGTGCCGAAATACAAGAAGATCCTGTTGTCGGGTACACAGAGACATATTGATCTTAGTCATTTGATGTTACTGCTGTTATCTCTAACTTAGGATGGACAGATGTCTATGCAGAAACTATAATAAGTGCACTAAATGCACCATAATGCTTCGGAGAACAGCACGACATTGAAATTGGATCTGATTTAATGTTGGGTTGCAGCTGGAGGACATTATAGAGTAAATGAGAAGCTTAGCTAGATGTACATGATGTTTTAAATAACAAACGTGTTGGTATGTATATCACAGTTGGTCTGCCATAAAGATCCTTTGGTGGAATCCATCATCAGATAGATCATAACATTCAATCCCCAATGCATCTCAGTGCAGCATTTCCAATCTACAGCAGCATATCAGTACTGTAGAATCTGATGAGACTAGCTCATACAGTATTTTCATATTCATATCTGAACTGTATGGGGCTTCACTCTTTTGAGTCACTGAGATTGTTTCTTTTTTTTTATGTTCAGCACTATAAGTTAAATAAGTGGATAAATGGTTTTATATTTGCAACTTTAAGATGTTATATTTTGTATAATAACTGTAAATAAGCTTGTAAATATTTGAACGTCTTCTCCCTGCACACTCACAATCACGCTTTGATCTTGTGTGTGTTCCACTGTCTGCCATATTCTTAAAACCTGATTAAAGAGAATAAAAAAGAGTTCATTGTCTAAGACAGATCTGAAGGCTTTTTCTCTCTTTAAGCTTGTCTCCCTAAAATAATGCGCTCTTTTCTAATATTGTTTAAATGCATGTGAACTTTCTTTTAATAAAATGTTGTGGTCTTTCATTATCATTTTATGAATGTCCCATTATGCTGTTTAACTTTTTTTTCCTCCTGGCTATTGTCTGTTTTCCTTGCACTGACCTTTTTTATGAATTACATAATATTTTGTTGTAAATCTTACTTTTAATGTGAAATAATTTCTTAAAATTCATTGTTTGTTTTTTTTAGAATACACCCTCTTTAAAAAAATAATTACATGAATTAGTATATTTTTATATTTGCTAAGATTGAGTTGATTTGCTCACTATGGGCAATATAATCCTCATTTTTATAGAAATGAAGAATACTTGCAATAAAAAAAATTTTTATTATTGTATTAATTTAAACACTGTCCAGCACTGTTTTTGAACACTTACGGTAGCCTCTGAATTATTGGTGCTTAGTGAATAAGACTGTAAATATAATGTGTAAAAGTGAATTGCTCCTAATTTCTAATATTTATCCATCATGTGTCTTTCTCAAGATATATAATTTTAAAGAAATTTCCAGAATTCCCGTCGTTTATAAAATGAGATTTTCTTGCATATGCGTTTTCATGAATTTTTTTTTAAAGGCATGAAAATATCATATAATTCCTCTTCCTTAGTAGATCTAACCTAAGTGTTGTTTTTGCACATTTGGACTGACAGGGCTGCTATAGGGCTGACAGATTCTCTCTTTTTATCTTCCAGAGCAACAGAATGGACGAGCAACGATGCACTTTTCCTCCTCCTCTCAAAGTATGTTAACGTCACCGACTCTCTTTTGTCCCTGTACACATGCACGCTCACAAAAATACAAAACACGTATTGTCTGAGGGCCACAGGCTGCTGTTTTTTTCTGCAGGCAGACAGCTTCAGATAGAAGAGCTAGTTATCAGTCAAGCTGGTGCGTCTACTTTTCAAAGACATCCCTAGCCCACTTTCCCTTGCACTAATGGAACTGCAATCAAATAAGATAAGCTGGTGCTGAGCAATATTCTCTGGCCTAAAGCCATACTGCCTGTATAGAATCCAACTGATCGCACTGAGTACAGATAGTGGGTTAGTCTCTTAAATAAACCAGCAGATAAGCAAGCAGTGTTTTTTGCTCCTTGGTTCATTGGAGTTTAAAAGGGTCTATTGCAACCAAATAAGTCTACTGCATTTTTAATGTTTTGAATGTCATCTCCTTACAGACCGAGGAAGACTACATCCCTTACCCCAGCCTCCATGAGGTACACCAGTTCAGAAAAAAAGAGCTGACAGAAAATTTTTGCTCTCGATATCTCAGAGGAATTTATTGTGCGCTTGCACAACTGACCGCCACCATAATTGTTTTTATTCGCTGTCTCTGTCAGGTTCTTGGCAGAAAGAGTCCATTTCCCTTAATTCTGCTGCCCCAGTTTGGGGGTTATTGGATTGAAGGGACCAATCATGAGCTGAGCAATGGAACTGATCTGGACCAGCTTCTGTCTCCCAATTCACGCTTCAAACTGGAGTGCAACACCACCGCTAAGATCTACAGGAAGCATTTTCTGGGCAAAGTAAGGATTTGCTTAAAGTAATAGCTCACCCAAAAATGATTGTGTCATCATTTTCTCACCATGTCGTTCCAACCCTGTATGACTTTCTTTCTTCTGTGAAACACAAAATGTAAATTTATTGACAAAAAAAAGGCAAAAAACAATTCAAGTAAAATTGTCATAAAAGTGGTCCATACTACTCATGGACTGTATCGCTCAATGCATTATATGTTTTGTGCACCAAATGTATGCATTATTAAGGGCTTTCCACATTTGAAATAGTTAACCCTGGGTAAAAGGGATCCAGGATTGTCTTGTTTCACATTTCACAGCAGGGTTTAGAACGACGATAACCCGGAGTTACGCGCAGTGTAAAAAGCCATAATGTCTTTTAAAGTCAATAGCTTTGTGAGAAGAACAGCCCAAAATGTAAGTCATTATTAACTGTACATCTGCTTTAGCACTCCTTGACACATTCTTGTGAGTTTGAAAAGTAGAAATCTCAAATTCATGAACAAGCTATTCTTTTGAGTCAGAACTTTTCAGTCAATCCATTAATCCAGTTCACAAAACTGGTCTGAATGATTCATTCACAAACCGGACTGTTTGGGTTCTCAAATTCAACTTAATGACTCAGCGTTTTGCCCACAACAGTCCACTAGCGGTAAATATTATCAGTGAACGATACGTCTTCAGAAGTCTAAATATAGAACATGAACCCCCACAAATGAAGTCGAAAATGCATAAAAAAAGCTGAACATTCAGAATGAAATCACCTTCAGCCCATACATTTGAATAAGTTTCAATAATGTGATTGTTAACAAATGTAACCTAATTACATAGGCCAATGTGACACTGCAGCAGCCAAACATAATGAAGATTTATTAGGCTTTAGCTTCAATGGGCTTAATTTATTCACATCTAATATCCATTATAAATTAGACTAATGCGAATAAAGAAGTGGTCGGTTAGCCCTTAGATCTGTGGGGGAGTGTTGGTACTGAAAACCTGAAAGTGTGAAGATGAATGTGCACTCACAGCTTCGCCTTCTGCTCCTTCATTAGGAACACTTTAATTACTATACAGTGGACAGTGCCCTGGGCCACCTGGTGTTCTCCATGAAATATGATGTTATCGGGGACCAAGAGCATCTCCGCCTCATGCTCAGGTGTGACCTTCTCTCTTCTAATACTGCTTTTTGTTCCCCATCCATTCTAGATTGCTTCTCCTGCTGTCATGTCTTATTTACTTTTCTCGAAATCACTTACTTGTCTCCTGGCCTCGTGTCCTGTCTCTATCGTGTAGATGAGGGCGGCTAATGAAGGGCTTAGTGTCTGGCACAGTTTCATTACTTTGTTTTGAGCTTTGGCTTTTATTGTGGACATTAAACGGAGCGCACTGATATCTATTCCTTGACAACAACTGTGAATGTTTCCTGGGACCCACAATAAAACCACTTTTCTCACAGATTAAACAGGCCAAATGTACACACCACCCTCATTTCCACATTAGGCACCAGATGGACAATATAGGGCAATGTGAGTGGGTGGAGGGAAGACAGCAGGATGTTCCTGTTATCAAATCCATGTGACACATTTAATGATGCCACAATGACACTGAACTGAAGACTGTTAATAAGTGTTACTGTTGTAGGTCTGGGCCGTGTTGTGCTTAAATTCCACTACAAACGTTTTTTGTTGTTGCTGTTTTTGAGCCGCCAGGGATGAGGATTTGTATATTTTTCGATGCATTACTGAAGCAAAGCAAAACTAAGCTTTGGGAAGTTTGATCGGCGGTCTCTATAAAGGCCGATCTCATAAACCGATCTCAAGCTGACGATGCACCTGCTGTGAGAGGTTTAGCATGACATGCAGCGGCACTGTCTCAATATCTGTCTGGCGCGGGTAAAATAATTATAATGCTGAAGGTGATGTACAATTCATATTTCTTTATTAAATAACTTACAAAGAAATTTGAAAACTTTCTGTGAGACGTGATTTCACAAACAGCGTGAGTGAATCACCGTACGCTCTCTCTTTCCCTCTCTAAATGCGCAAATGGCTTCAAATCACCACATCGCGTCTGCTCTATAAGCGAGCTGCACCGTTGACAGGAATTGTCACTTGCACAATCGAGGCAGTGTCACATCATCACTAAAGTTTATAATTTGCATTTCTTTTTAAGTCTTGCCAGTGTTTAAACCATTCATCACTCGCGCGCTCACCTAGAGACGGTGCACTCATGCACACTCAAAGTGCACATACATAAGGCCGCCTCACATACAGCTCACGAAATCAGGATTGTGCTGAGTGTAAGCTATTGTGCAACAATTGCCCCATTGTAAAAAAAAAAATGCACTGCATTATCAAACATTTAGGTGAGATAATTATATATTTTTGAAAAAAATGTCTAAAAAAAATTAAATGTCCAATACATGTAATGTCCAATACAGTTTTTCACCGTATATATTAGGGGAATTTACTGTTAACCATTTAACAGGTTTTTACTGTAGCATTTTTACAGTCTTTTACCGTTAAATTCACGGTCATTTTTTATCTCATTAAATGAAAAAATTCTTAAGTTGTATTGTGTTGTCTAATTCATGTTTTATTCTTTTTACATTTTGGACAGATTCCCCCAATCTGTAGGAAACACATAAATGACATAGCCTTCAAATCATATTTTGTATTCCTATTTTGCATCAAATCACACAGGGAATATGACTCTATATGAAAACCTGCAATAATTATTGCATTTAACTTCCGATGCAGAATTTAAAATGTGTAAGCCAATTCACAGATATGCGGGGGGGAAATATATCAACTATATCAAGAATTTTATTTTATTAATTCATTCCTGTGGTTTAAAGTGAATAGGATAAAAAAAAGTCAACTAATAAACCAGTAAAAGGTATGTATTATGCATATTATTATTATTTAAAACATGATTTAATTATTATTTAAACACGTTTTAATTAATACAAAGGAACAAATTTAAAAAAGTGATCAACAATTTCTTAATTCGTGGACATTATAATTTTTGGCATGCATGAGCAGGGCTCTGTACTATACGGCAATAGATGTGTCAAAAAAGGACAGATAACGAATAAGTACTATGCGTGACCTGCTGAAATGCATCAGCGAATTATTAAAAGTAAGTTTCATACCTTTCATGGTGTCAAAATATATGATAGAACTAGGCCTCTATCACTCATAATTGTAACAGATCGGCCAGGCTCCACCACCACCCAATCACAACGATCTCTATCACCGGAGTACTGAGCACCTGCACCTGTCACCAATCAAGCACCTCATCAACCAGCCTGGATAAAAGCGCACACCTCATTGTCCGGTCTCGTATACACGTAGAGGACTCTCTGACTTTGCTACTGCTTCCATTTGAATACATCCTGCATTACTTACCTCCTGTGTTCCTCCTAGTGTCTCCTCGTCTCCAAGTGTCTCCTGTTCCTCCTAGTTCCCGGATCGCTGAGGTGTGTGCTCCTCCTGTGTGCATTCCAGCCCCTGTAAAGACCAAGACTCTGATTATTCCACTCCGTCATATCCTTTGAACTGTTCTACGAACTATACACTCACCATATCAGAGAGCCTTCACTAGCACCCCACTCCATGTCCATCCAGATCCCGACCTCCCATTCGTCGTGGAAGTCGACGCCTCCACTACAGGAGTGGGGGCAGTGTTGTCCCAGCAGCAGGGGAACCCAGCCAGACTCCATCCATGTGCCTTCTTCTCTAGGAAGCTCAGCCCGGCGGAAAATAATTATGACATCGGCAACAGAGAACTACTTGCCATCAAGCTTGCCTTAGAGGAGTGGAGGCATTGGCTGGAGGGGGCAGCCCATCCATTCACCGTACTGACCGACCATAAGAATCTCCAGTATCTTCGTGAGGCTAAACGTCTGAATCCCCGAATCAGACCTCTTCCGTTACAATAATCTTCCTATTAACAATAATCCACCTTTTCTATCGTTAGATTTTTTATGGCATAATGCACACCTCTTTAAATGTAATCTAAACATTGCCGGTATCCAGATGGACGAGGGGAAGATGGAAGCTATAACCTCCTGGCCAGAACCCACTACAATTAAGGAGCTCCAACGATTCCTCGGATTCGCCAACTTTTACCGTCGCTTCATTCTAGACTATAGCAGGATCACCAGCCCACTCACAAGCTTACTACGAGGGAAACCCAAATCTCTGTCCTGGACACCCGCGGCCTTAGAAGCTTTCTCCTCCCTCAAGAGAGCCTTCACTAGCACCCCACTCCATGTCCATCCAGATCCCGACCTCCCATTCGTCGTGGAAGTCGACGCCTCCACTACAGGAGTGGGGGCAGTGTTGTCCCAGCAGCAGGGGAACCCAGCCAGACTCCATCCATGTGCCTTCTTCTCTAGGAAGCTCAGCCCGGCGGAAAATAATTATGACATCGGCAACAGAGAACTACTTGCCATCAAGCTTGCCTTAGAGGAGTGGAGGCATTGGCTGGAGGGGGCAGCCCATCCATTCACCGTACTGACCGACCATAAGAATCTCCAGTATCTTCGTGAGGCTAAACGTCTGAATCCCCGAATCAGACCTCTTCCGTTACAATAATCTTCCTATTAACAATAATCCACCTTTTCTATCGTTAGATTTTTTATGGCATAATGCACACCTCTTTAAATGTAATCTAAACATTCAAAGTTAATACTGGCTGATACTGTACAGTAAAAAGTAAGCACACTTCAAGCATTGCCGTCACTGTAATATTTCATAGAATGAGTGGTCAAATAGCTGGAATATTACACATTTATATGATGAATAATTTGAGATTAAATGTTATAATGGTTTACTAACCTATTATTGTAATATCACCACAGTTTTATTTCATTATTTTTTATCTTTGTTTACAAGTGAAAATGTCACAATTCCAGCTTTATTGAGCAATGCTGTCAACCATCCCTTTGCTCCACCTCGTGGTGAGTTCGTGAGCAAGTTTCATATGTGACTGGGTTTTATTTAACGCTGTGGCCTTGCAGCGGCAGTACACGCGGCTTTAATAGGCATTTTAGTTGACTACCTACTGTATATATATGTATGTAATATGTAATACATACACACGCACACACACACACACACACACACACACCTTGATTATATACTTTTTGCAGCAGTATTTAGCTTCAATCTTATGTCTGCTAATGTCTTTCCTTTTTTTACAGAACTAAAATGAAAACATATCACGACGTGATTCCAATATCTTGTCTGACCGAATTCCCCAACATTGTCCAGATGGCCAAGGTGAGAGTGAATCATGTGAGGAGGGGGTGAATGGGGTCAGCACTATTGTTTTCAGGCCCTCCAATTTATCACACTTCTCTCCGAGTGACATGACTGATTGTCTCACTCTCCTATGAGCCTGTTCTGTCCTGCCTGGACAGACGACCGTAGTGTTGCATCACTTTTGCAAGATCAAATGATAATGAGGAACGAATCAATAAGTGCTTTCTCTTTTCATTATTATCAGCTCGTCTGTGAAGAGGTGAACGTGGACCGATTTTTCCCTGTGCTTTACCCAAAGGTACGCAACCCTACACAACACAATTTCAATCAGTCTTTTTGTATGCTCCACCTGCGCCAAAGTGATACGCTTAACTTAATAACACATAATTGTGAATCATTTGTCCTGGTTAATTAAAGCGTGGCACTGGGAAATATGCTAGTTTCTGCGAAAGTATTGTTCTGTGTCTCTCAAGGGTTTGCAGTGCTGACAAAGCCAGATGCGTAGCCATCATTTCAGAAGTGAGGGGGACAGAAATGTCAAATGTAATACCTTTTTTTATTATTTTATTTTATTTTATTTTTGCTTATTTTTCTCTTATTTCTTACTTTTAATTGGCTAAGAAATCAAATACACTGCTGGACAATATAATATTTTTCTTATATTTTCCTAATGACAATTTTGTGATTTGTTTATATACTAAAAACAATTTTTTCAATTTTTATCACTAAATAAGGCAGAATCATTTTTATTTCAATTAGCACTGCATTATTCATATTCTTTATTTATTACCTGGAGATAACTTGAAAAACACACATAGACCATATATTGTCACACTCGTGTTTAATGTCTTCACATTTCATCAGTCAAAACGTGTCTGCTTTTTATTCAGCTTATACAGCGATAGCTGGATGTCTTTGTCCATATTAGGGATTTCCTGGCACGTCATAAGTTATTACTTCTATGAGTCCATCTTGGACTATGAGAGAGCACCCTACGGCTTTGAGTATGAATGAAACATACACTGCATGAGAGTGTTTAGCGCTCTATAATGTTCAAATCGCCTAATTCTGGATTTGAATAAAATATCAGAATATGCGCAGACTATCCTCTCTCTTTGAATTTAAATCTAGATTTATTCACACCAGCCTTTGGAAACCTCTATGTGACTTGCATGAAAAAAAGTGTGTCCCACATGTTCTAGTACTTAAAGGACATTCATCATTCTATTGAAAACATCTACTCTCCCACAGGCCTCCAGGCTCATCGTCACTTTTGACGAACACGTCATAAGCAACAACTTCAAGTTTGGAGTAATTTATCAGAAATTTGGACAGGTGAGTCGCATGGGAAGCCGTATCTCTGTTAGCTTCTACAGAACTGATTTCCTCTCATTTAGCCGATGCACAGAGATGAATCGGTGCTGTAACTCACCATCATAATTTATCTTTATTTAGAACAACACCTTCGATCTTTTGAATCAAACAGCTAACAAAGTAGTCCTTCCTCCTCTTGACCTCACAATGGCTCCTCTGCTTAGACAACAATCAAGCCATTGTCTTCATTTGTCTTTTATTAAAATCATGAGGCTATTGTTCCCAGAGGAGAGCTTTGATTGCATTAAGACAGATCCTTGACCTTTAAGGCTGCAGAGAGTAGGCAGAGAGTGAGAGGTGTCTGAGAGGACAGTTGCCAGAAATGCCCTTAACGTATTAGCATGACAGCGGAGGCTGTGAGATGCGCTTGAACAGCCTCTTCATCTCACAGATTGGTGTGTTTACACACTCAACCTTTCCAATGTGGGCAGCAAGAACACTGAGGCCCTTAATGGGACATGCTCATGTTTATAACGCACCTTATGGCTCCGTCCTCAAAACTTCCGCTTGCCCTCCTTGACTCCAAATGGGAGGCTATGTTTATTCAGGTAAACAATTTGCATATTCATCAAGCTAATTGACTCATGATGAGCCATTTATGTTTGCTCATTTTAAAGTTTGCTTTTGTCTTCATCAAGATGTTCTTGCTTTTGTGTGTGTGGGTTCATTTCATTTGGGGTTTGTTTAATGTCGGGCTTTGAGCTGTAACATAATGTCATTATGTGTTCTTGTTTTTGTGATTTGTGATTTTTGAAAGGCTGAATTACTTTATCTCATTCAGTAATTGAAGTAATGATAATGCATGAAGCTTCTTTGTTGAGATGACCTTCTATTGTACCTGATGGGTTACTGTGTCTACTGCCAAGGGCACCATACAAATGTTTGTATGAAACTTATAAGCATTTGATGTGTTTTTATCTGTGTAGACCTCAGAGGAGGAGTTGTTTGGGAATAACGAGGAGAGTCCTGCTTTGGTGGAGTTTTTAGAGTTTCTGGGACAGAAAATCGAGCTCCATGACTTCAAGGGGTAACACTTAAAAACAGAACCGCTCTCTCTCTCTCAATATGGCACAAGCAAGATGTAGACGAGCGAGATGAAATGCTTCACAGCATGAATTAATTAAAATAGAAGCTTTGGATGTTGGAGTTTTTATTTGTGCACTTCTGAGGAGAGATTTCACTAAGAATGAACTACACTTTCTTATAGTGCTGTTTATTTTCACACACTGTCTGTGTTGTTTGAAACTTCAAATCACACAAAAACATTTAAAATGTACATTGCATGTATTTATGCTTAAAACTTCTAAAACCATCAGATTAAACTAGACTAAACCAGTGTTGTTATTAACTAAAGCTATTAAAAAAGATTCAGTTTATTTAAATAAAGATTAAATAAAATAACATGAAATATGAATATTAGATAGAAAACTTAAAAAACATACACATAAATTTTAAATATTGCCCTGGCAACTAACCAAAATAAAATGTTGAAGCACTAAAATTACTCAGACTAAAACTGAAATAGAAATATTAAAGGTAAAGAGAAATATTTATAGAAAAACTAAAACTAATAAACATGACAAAAGCACATAAATTTACTAAAACTTAATATACAAATAAAATGAAAGCTTAAAAAATATAAATATTAATAAATACTAATAAAATATACTAATAGTATGTAATTGTATATAAATAATAATAAAATAAAACTGTATACAGAACAAGGAGAGCCACTTAAAAATAAAGGAATTTAATTTATTTATATATTTTTTTAAATTATTTCTTAAATAAAAATGTAAATAAATCACTTTTAAATGTATTTATTTTAAATAAATATGTTTGTTTAGTTAATGTTAATAATTTTTTCAAATTTTCAAATTGACAAATAAATAGACATTTAAAACCAATAGGTTTTCTTTATATTTCTTTTTATCCTTTTGCACTTTTTTAATTAAATCAATAATTTATTCCTTAATTTTAGTGAGAGACTGAATAATTTATTACTGAATAATAAAACACAGTGTGGTGAAATATCATTGTGCTAAAACATTTAGCTATTTTTTTCCCGGAATGTTCTTACAGTATGTAACCTTTAGAAAGATATCTATATCATAAAGATTTGCTACAAAGCTTGGATAAATTGTCTCTGTGAAGTTTAATGCTAACAATGCCCTTCATGTTTGACTGCAAAACACTTGAATATTCTGTTTTCTACTAGGTTTCGTGGAGGATTGGACGTGACACATGGACAGACAGGCTCTGAATCTGTGTACCACAATTTCCACAACAAGGAGATCATGTTCCACGTGTCAACTAAGCTGCCTTACACAGAGGGCGATACACAGCAGGTACTCACAATTAGGGATGCACCGATACCATTTTTTCAGAACCGATCCGATACCAAAAATATAGTATGGTAGCCGATACCGATACTGAGTATCGGATTGGTGCATCCCTACTATCAATGCTGTGGGTTCAATGAGAGGGTTACTCATAGCACATTTCCCTGCTTCTAGATCCTTTAATCAATACAACTGTGGTTCCCTTTCAAGGGAACTTCGAACTGCATCCTCTAGGGGTCGCTATGGGGAACGCCTCGTCGTGACCCGTGTCTGAAGCATACATTGAAAAAACACCAACAACACGTTGGCCGGCGACAGCCCATGACGTCACTACCGGTGCGACTATAGTATAAATAGGCGCCGTGTCCTTGAGGGGGCGATTTGCGTGCATTGTGAGCGTTTTTTGATGAAAAAGCTCCGCTCTCGTTTGTCTCTTTTTTCGAGGAAAGAGGGGCAGCCATCTGCTCCCCACGGTTCAGGACCCGCCGCTGCTGAGGCACGGAGGAGAATGAGCTCATGGGGT